CTCTCTCTCTCTCTCTCTCTCTCTCTCTCTCTCTCTCTCACAGGGACAGAAACCTGGCGCAGACAGTTCCCCCAGGGATACGTCCTGGCCCCAGTCCCTCCCCCTCCACGGCTTCCTTCTGGATAGTAGACTTGCTCTTGCCACCACTTGTGCCTAGGGTGCAGAGACCCTGGGCCTGGCTTTGGAAGCCATCGCCCTGGCTGCAGAGTCTGGAGAGCGTGGCCGACCTCCTGTGTGCAGGTTTGAGACAGGCCTGCCTCCTCATCCCCAAGCCACTGCCCTCCCTGCCCAAAGATCCCTCTTTTCTCTCAAGCTGTGAGAGATCTGACCATGAGCTGCCTGCAGATGTTGGAGACAGCAGCAACTCCTAAGTCCGATCTGGGCGACCCTCCCAGCCAAGCATGTGCCACAGATGCTGCCTGCTGAACCCTTGTGCTGAGCTGGGCTGAGGACTGCTGGAAGCCCCACGTGCTAGAGGAAGCAGCTCAGGCGCCTGTGGGGGTGAGGGTGGCGCCTCGCCCATCTCTGGGAGACCCTGACACCAAGGTGCCTCCTGTCCCTGCTCCAGCGCCTCTGTGGAAGCTCCACCTCCTAGGCCCCTCCCGTGCAGGAGGCCCTGAGAAGGGGCCAGGAAGGTTCCCCAACAGGCACCCGAGACCCCACACCCAGGAGGGCATGCAGACACCTGGTGTTCCTTGTGCTCTGACAGGGCCTGCATCAAACAGAGGACCGATGCTCACTTTTTCTTATTAATTTTATATCAGAGTCAGTCTTGCTGTGTTGCCCAGGCTGGTCTCAAATACCTGGCATCCAGCAATCCTCCTGCCTCGGCCTCCCAAAGTGTTGGGATTATAGGTGTGAGCCACCATGCCTGGCCAGGACTTTCTCCACCAGCAAAGGACAGAGCCACCCAGGCCACGGAGCGAGGACACAGAAGTGCAAGTGACACACAGATGACCATATCAGCAGCTGCAACTTGAGATCAACAGCGTGGAGGCAGGGGCTAGGCCCACCCACAGATGTGGGCTGACCCCCTTTGGGGCTGTGAACACTGAGCAGGTGCCCAGCCCGCAGAAGCCCCCTGGCGTCTTGACCCATCTCCATCACCAGGTAGCCGCCCCAGGTCCGCGTTCCAGGGCGGTGTCTGTACAAACGAGCCCCCCGCTCCGTCAGGCTGAAGCCCACCAAGGACAAGCTGGACATCACATTCTGACCAAGAGGCCACGGTCACCTCTGTGGATCTAGCCCAGCCCTACCTGCTCTCTGCATTTCTGCCCTTGTGTGAACAGCTCCGGGACCTCAGGCGCCTTTTCCCAAATGAGGGAGAAGTTGCTGGCATGGCCCAGCCTGGCTAGAGGCCATGTGTGATTCCTAGTTTTACATGCCTGAGGAGGGGTCTGTGTCCATCATTTTTGTGTCGTTAAACCAGAGCACGAGACACAGGGAGCCCAGGGTGGGGGCACCACGGAGATGCCAGATCCACACAAAGCAGCTCTGGTCTGAGGCCTGGGTTCAGATGGCCTCGGGCTCCCCAAGGCCCAGCCCGGGTCAGCAGCCTGAGATGCCAAGGTTCCAACGAAGCCCTGGGACACGGCAGCCCTCCTGAGACAAGGCGGCCCCTCCTGGGACACTCAGGCCCTGCCTGGAACACTGCAGCCTGCCCAGGCCACTCAGGCCCTGTCTGGGACATCGTGGCCCCCCTCTACCTTCCCAGGCATGTGCAGGGGAGAAACTCCATACTAGGGCCCTCCCCATCAGCCCACTTGTGACCACCGACTAAGAGGGATTGAGGAGGAAGGCCCAGTCCTGAGTGACTCCCACATCCACCCTGACCCCACCCAGAAGCTGGCAGATGTGATATTCACACTGTAGCTTCAGCCCAAAACTGTCACACTTCAGGAGATACCCCTTGGCAGACATCATGGGACCACTTCACCCTGAAAATCACTAAAAACATCCATGTCAGTCCTTGTCCCCCCAAGGCCACAATGGTCACAGACGTATCCCCTGACGTGTCACACGTGGCCCATTCAAAGGAGTGTGGATACAGTGAGATGGGCAAGAGAGCAGCTGTCTGGGACACTGTGCTCCTCCTACTGCCTGTATTGTCTGCATAGCTGTTTTCTTTTTCTTTTCTCTTTATTGTGGCAAAATATTTATAACGTAAAAGCTAGCATCTTAGCCACGTACAATGAGCAGTGCTGTGGTGTTAGGTACATTCACCCTGTGGGCCACTGTCACCTCCAGGACTTTTTCCATCCTCCCAAACTGCAGCTGTCCCCATCCAACACAAACGCTCCTCCCCCAGTTCCCTAACTCCCCTGCCCCCAAAACCGTCCTCCTCTGGCACTGGCCCCCAACCCTC